CCGACAAGACTGTCGAGATATCCAGTCCCCTGTCACATTTGAGAAAAAAAAGAGTTCAAGTAAGGAACCTTGGAACTCACATTTCGAAGGGGGCAGAGGTCCACCGCCACCTTTTTTCCCCCATAACGGGGATGATCATTGGTCGTGTCAACGCCATGCGAGGGGCGGACACATGGCCCGTGAGCGAGGGCGGCTTAGAACCAATCAGCAAGACGGACTTCTTTGGTTCAGGATGGGAGTGTGTCTTCTCCCATGGACGGGGAGGAGGAAGACCCCGCTGAGGAAATGCGGCCAATGAATATAGATAGGGCTCCGGTATAGCCGGTGTGTATTTTGAAAGGGTTGAGAGTAAAAGATAGAAATTCGGCGATTGGATCAGTACCTGCCTTAGGTCTCCACGTGGAGTAAAGAGGCTAAGATGAATGGGGTAGGTCAAGAGATAGAGGTTTAGTTTTCTGGACGTTTCCGTTGCATTTGTATTACTTGTATATATGTATGTTACTACAAAAATAAACTGGGTCCATTCCAGAATAGTAATCCCTCTTTAATCTATTTCCTTAACATACCCCATAACTCGGATCTCTTCATTCTCCCGTCTCCCCCTCTCATTTCCACACCCCAGAAACCTTATGTGATCAACGTTCACTTTATTTCCCCGGACGCGTTTCATTTCCTTCTCTCTCATATGCTGATCATCTGTCGCCTCTCTACAATTTGGACACTGAGCATGCAGAGTGTGATCGATCATTAAAGCCATCATGAAGCTCTTCTCCAAGGGTCACAAGAATGGGGTGAGTGACACATATCCCTACAGCCATGCTCCCTCAACCTGGTAGCACAGCAGATGCTTCGCGCCCCGGGAGGTCATTCGGATTGGGACCACTGACATGGACTCGTCACTTTGCGCAGGCTTCCAACCCCCCGGCCGCGGCGCCACCCGTGAAAAAAGACCTTCAGGTACCGCAGGTTTCACCGCTAGAAAAGAGGTTGCAGGACATGGGACCCATCCGTGAAGACGGGAGTGACAAGTTCTATGGAATGGAAAATGTAAGTCTCGGACCTTCCCGGACCCTGGATCGAGTCACTGACTGTAAACCCCGCGCGTCTCTCTAGTATGGCAACACTTGTTACTGCAACTCGATCCTGCAATGTCTCTACTACTCGGTCCCCTTCCGTGAAGCCGTCATTAACTACCCACAACGCACCCCGATGGAAAGTCTCGAGGCCGCGCTCGCAAAGAACCTACGTTATCAGAACCCAAACGCACACCTGGAAGCCGAGGCGCTGGCGGCCAAACAAAAGGCTTCCTCACCACCATCCGCGCGCCAAGCCGGTGTACCCCTAAATCCAACTCAGAAGCCCGAGGACAAGGAATCGCCCGAATACAAGAAGAAGGTAGCACTGCAGACCCTTCCGATTTTGGAAACCAAGAACAATGCGACCAGTTATGGCATGTCCGAGTCCCTTTTCACTTCGCTCAAGGACATCTTCGAATCGGTGGCAGGAAGCCAAGCGCGCATTGGTATCGTTCGCCCGCAACAGTTTCTGGACGTTCTACGACGAGAACACGAAATGTTCCGGACTGCCATGCACCAGGATGCGCATGAGTTTTTGAATTTGCTCCTCAACGAGGTGGTAGCGAATGTTGAAACCGAGGCCACGAAGCAAGCCTTTGCAGAGAAGGCTTTGCCACCAACAGAGAGTGCGGATTCGTTGGGAATGGTGCCGTCTAGCACGGGTTCCAAATCGCCAAATACTACGAGATGGGTTCATGAGCTGTTCGAGGGTACTCTGACGTCTGAGACCAAGTGTCTCACCTGTGAAAAGGTCTCGCAGCGAGACGAGATCTTTTTGGATTTGTCGGTGGATCTCGAGCAGCATTCGTCCGTAACCTCTTGTCTCCGAAAGTTTTCGGCCGAGGAGATGCTTTGTGAGCGGAATAAGTTCCACTGCGACAACTGCGGTGGGCTGCAAGAAGCGGAGAAACGGATGAAAATCAAACGTTTGCCCCGTGTGCTGGCTTTGCATTTGAAGCGTTTCAAATATACAGAGGACCTGCAGCGACTGCAAAAGCTGTTTCATCGCGTCGTCTATCCCTACCACCTTCGCCTGTTTAACACCACAGATGATGCCGAGGATCCAGACCGGCTTTATGAATTGTATGCGGTGGTGGTTCATATCGGCGGAGGGCCGTATCACGGCCACTACGTTGCTATTATCAAGACCGAAGACCGTGGTTGGCTGCTGTTCGACGATGAGCTTGTGGAACCGGTTGACAAAAGTTACGTGCGCAACTTCTTTGGAGATCGACCCGGATTGGCGTGTGCCTATGTTCTATTCTATCAAGAGACAACTCTGGAGGCTGTCATGCGAGAGCAGGCGCAAGAGAACCAGGCCACCGCCGCGGCAGCCGAAGCAAGCGAGGCCGCAAAGCCTAATGGGTCTCCCTTCTCACCACCGTTAGCCCATGCCCAAAGTGCACCTGTGCCTCCTGAAAGCACAACCCCCTTCACTCCTCTCAGCCGAATCCCAACGGCACCCCCACTATCCGCCTACCCAGAAGAACCCTCAGAGCCCCATCTAGCTTCGCCACGGTCCGTTCAACCGCCTCTCCCTCCGATTCCTGACGAACCAGTTCCCCCATTGAGCCCAAAGAAGAGTGATCACCAGCTACGGAAGGAACGCCGGGCCATGGAGAAAGAGAAGGATAAGAACGAAAAGATTCGTCAGAAAGAGCAGGACCTGCACAACCGAGACCTGCACCGACGAGAGGTAGAGGAACTGAGAAGAGCCATCGAGGCCAGCAGAGCCGATACGGTCGATTTCGCCGAGAACGGATCACCAAGAAAGTCGAGCAGTTTCGGCTTTTTGAAGCGAGGCAGCCGCAGTCTCAGCCAACGACTCAGCAAAGAAAAAGAGCCCCGAGTCTCAACATCGGATCTCTCGACAGCACCGCCTCTTCCCGAGGCTGTGCCAGAAGCACCGCTCAAAGAGGCAGAACCGGCCCAGCCATTCACTAAACAAACCCAGCCGATTAAACCAATCCACTCAGCCCAGACAGTTCAGTCCCCGGTTTCTTCCCCGAGGGATTTCCCACCTATCTCCAACCCTAAGCAACCCAAGCAACCTATCCAATCTATCCGGGCCCCCGAGTCCTTGGTCAAAGACCAACCCACCAGCCATACGAAGCCAGGTCATACCCCTCGGTGGAGATCTTTCAGTTTCAAGAAAGTGTCCTAAACTACAATCAGTGTTTTTTTTAAAGACAGCACTTGTTTTCGCTTTTCATCTCACATCTTCAGCCCGACTTTCCCGGAGATACCCCTGTCATCTTGCACATATGAGCGCAACTTTTGCTTCTGCACATAGCTTCCTTTAATGGATGTACTATCATGTTCTTATGATCTGCGCTTCTCCAGCTTCCGTTCTCCTGTGGGGGTTCTCACTCTCAACCGGGGTATTTCCACAGCTATGTTCCTCTAGGCTCTGCTGGATCTTAGATCCCGTCGAATCTGTTTTACTCTCCTTACTTTTCCCTTGCTATTAGGTTTGTATTTTTTTCTTGCTATCATCGCTTTTCACCACCGCCACATTTTGATCATGTACAGCGGTGGATACATGCACTGACAGGGCCGAAACCTGGCAGGTTTGCGAAAAGAGGCGTATTGGGTTTGCTATCTTTTGCTTCTTTTGCTGGCGAGCGTGGGTCTATTGTCGGATTTGGCGTTTTGAACTGTTTTTATTATCTCATTTGAAATCTTGAGCGAATCTTCTCTTTTTCCCAGCCTATGTTCAGACCGTTCCTCTAACTTCTACGTACATGCGGTGATTTGGTTTACTGTCATCTCGACCATCTTATACATACTTGGCGAAAGGCTGGTCAGCAACTCGAATAAGAGAACAAACACAAGATACAGGTTTGCTATGCAATTACACAACTCCCCCCAAACCCCTAATATCCTGCAAACCACATCTTGATCATGTGTCCATTGCGCTTCTAGATTTTTGGTGGGTATATAGGTAACAGGCCAGAAGTAATTCCAACGAACTCAAGAGGAAGATGTGCTATTCGCTGCACGCCACCATTATTCCTGTACTTCACCCAATGCAGCATAAAGCAAATGCCTAGCAGCGGTGTTCAGGTCCTATTATACCACAGTTGCATCATCTGTCCCCCAGTATGCTCCTTGCTCGTGTAGATCATGCCGCGTTTCTCGCTTAGGCGTCATTAATGATATAGAGGTTTTGATTGTGAATGGCTCGTTGGAAGGGAGGTCACAGCGCAGCTATGTAGGTTGGCAGGCAGTAGGGTAGCTATGCAGCTTGGTCGCCGGTTCCGTGAGAGAGTTCTCCGTGAAGGAAATGGCGAGAAAGCAAATTTAACCAAGGATCAGTTCGTAGACAATGATGACGGTGTTGATGACGATAAGGGGTACTGGATTGTGGATGTGTTAGCTATTCCGTTGGGTCATGGCTGAAGTGTCTTCGTTCCATGAAAGCAGAACAGGATGGCTCGGGGCGTATTCAAGGTTGAAAGCTATTCCTCAAATCCAAGATGCAAGACTGATCTGCTTATATTGGGCTGCGGGGGTTGGAAAACGTACTCCGCATCACGGTCCGTACACTGGCGATCAGGTTGACGGACTTGGCTTTCACGCTTGTGCTATCATATGTCGCGCCAAAACCAGGTTCGGCTTGTGTGCGGCCCCATCCGACTGTAGGCTTTCGTTAGAGTATTCGTCTGGGGTGTAGCTGGGGAAGGACATACCGCGAGCTAGGAAGCGGTCTTCGGAGAGGACGGCGATCGCATTGATGATGAGGACGATAACTGGGAGTCAGGATATTAGTATAAGCTGAAAAATGAGGCTAAGCAGAACATACCATAAACCAGCTTCCCAAGACCGAAGAAAAACATCTTTGCGAGTTGAGGAAGATGTCAAAAGGTGAAGTGCGGGAGGCGCCAGATCTCCGGATTAACACACTTCTCGGATGCAGTCACCATGGGATATGGTTTGTTCACATTATTCTACATAAGAACAAACAATTAAGCTAATTGGTTTTCTATAGCATTTGCGATTCTCGCTCTTCTCTTCCCGGCCTTGATCATCCTCCATCTCCTCGTCACTCCATACACCAAAGTCGAGGAGTCGTTCCATATCCAGGCCGTACATGATATCTTGGCCAACGGGCTACCAAATGGATTTAATGACCCGAATCTCCACCGCGCCGACTATGATCATTTCTCTTTCCCTGGGGCTGTTCCCCGGAGCGCCGTTGGCGCTGCGGCGCTCGCTATGCTCTCAAAACCCGTGATCTGGTTGAATGATGGGATCAACCGACAGTTATTAGGTGCGGCATAGATTTATACAGCTATACGTTCCACCAAGCTAACACCGGAATGCAGCTCGCGCTATCCTGGGCCTATTCAACGCCTCATCTCTGGCAGTCTATGCAAGAGGCCTGCGCCGTAGCTTCGGTCAGCCAGCAGCTATCTGGTATATCCTACTCCAAGCAAGCCAGTTCCATTTGATATTCTACGCTTCAAGGCCACTATCAAACATGTTCGCCTTCGGCATTACAACACTAGCAATGCGTCTGCTCCTCCCAAGCCCTGCTCCAACATCCCAAGACCAAAAACAATGCAGCCTTGCACTCGCCCTCCTCACCATCGCAGGCGTAGTCTTCCGCTCCGAACTAGCCCTCCTAGTCGGAACCCAGACCCTCTTCCTCCTAGCAACGAAACGAATCAGTCTCAAACACAGCATAATCGCAGGTTTCATAGGCCTAGCCACCGGCCTAACCCTCACAATCTTCCTCGACAGCACCTTCTGGCAACGCTTCCCCCTCTGGCCCGAATTCGAAGCCTTCCGCTTCAACGTCCTGGCAGGCCAATCATCAGAATGGGGCACAGATCCATGGCCATTCTATTTCCAAAACGCCCTGCCCCGTCTCCTCTTCAATCCCCTCATCTACCTCCTCGCCATCCCCGTCGCCCTACGCCAAGCAGCAACCCGATCCCCAGCCCTGGCACTTCTAATCCCAGCGCTTTCTTTCGTCGCTCTGTACAGCTTCCAGCCACACAAGGAATGGCGCTTCATCGTCTATATCATCCCTTCCCTGACCGCTGTAGCCGCCCTCGGTGCTGCGTATCTCTGGACGCATCGCTCGCGCTCTCTCTTCGCTCGTCTGGCGACTCGCGCCTTGGCTATCTCGACTCTCGCTGTGTTCTGTTTGTCGAATTTTGTGCTTCTTCCTGTGTCCGCGGCGAATTATCCTGGTGGTCAGGCTATCGATGCTATGCATCATCAACACGGTATTCTTCATGATACCGAGTTGCATTCTGGGATGACTGGCTCTCCTATCAATGTCTACCTAGGTAACCTCGCCTGCCAAACGGGTGTAACACGCTTCTTGCAACACCCCCTTCATCGGGGTGGGTATATGACAAAACTGAAGATAAGGCCGTCAAATCCACTAGTGGGTTCTGGGATCGGTTTGATTATGTTGTTGTCGAGGCGGATGAGGAGGCTGGGTTTATGGATGCTGATGAGACGAGTCTCCGGCATGCGCTTTCTTCTTCCGATTGGGAGAGGGTGCATATAGTAGATTCGTTTGCGGGGATTTCGGTTTTGAAGCCTGGGACTCCTGCTAGGGGGATTGCGGAGCGGCGTGTTATTGATACTATCGGGGGTGCGCGTGCTGTTGCGTTGTTCGAGCGTCTGCGCGAGTATGTCAGGGATTCTTTGTTGCGTGGGTGGTGGGTTGAGGTTAAGATGAGACCGAGGGTTCAAGTGTTAAGACGGGTGAGGGAGGGATCTAATTTTTAGGATAGAAGTAGTAGATTTTAGTCTATCTACACTTATGTTGTAGTATTGTAGGGTACCATAAAAACCAAGGCCATCTGGTATGGAACTGATATTAACAATTGAAGATAACTACAATATGCCCTCAACATTCGACAAGTACATGCAACTGGGTATTATTCATCAAACCTCTTCCCCGGAGCAGATCAAAAAAGTAGAGACAGAAATGGATTACAGTGCCGAGGGGCCTTCCAGACGCGCCAGACGAGACTCCAAATCACGCACCCAGGGCTCGACAGTCTCCACGTTAGAGCGAAGAGCAGCTTCACCTTGTTGCATCTTCTCTTCGACGGTCATCAGACCTTCACGCCACTGCTCGATCTCCGCCGCCATCTCAGCGTGGCGCTTTTCGAGCTCGTTGAGCGAGTCCGCGGCGTGCGCTGCGCCGGCGTGGCAGGCGCGCAGAGAACGCAGACGCTCGAGGACGCTGGGTAGCAGGGGGTGCAGGGACTGGATGGTTGGGAGGGTTGTGTAGAGGGCTTGTATCTTGGCAGCGTGGTCATCGTCGGTTGATGCTGCTAGTGCAGGGACTACGTCGACATCGGAACTTGCTATACGGGCGTTGTGGACGGCCTTTGCGGCTTCGAAGGCTTTTCTGCGGGCTGCGGTGAGTGCCTCGGCGTCGGTGGTTAACTTTCGGACTCGGGTGGAGAGAGCTTCCAGGTGTGGGGTTGTCATCCCTGGCGCAGCATTGGGTACTCCTGGCACTGTGGATGTTGGGTTTGTGCCAACGAGAAGGCTGGTGAGTGCTGAGAGGCGGGAAGTGAGTTGGTCCAGGGCTGGGAGGACAGGGTGTGACGTTGACTCGTTGATACCGTCGGGGACGAAGGGGTTAGATGAGCTCGAGATACCGATGGAGCTTTCAAGTAGTGCTAGGCGACTGTCGAATGCGGCCGCGTGAGAGAGGATCCCTGCCGACGAGGCAGTTGGGGCCGGCACTGTGGAGACTGCCTTTGATGCATCGGCGGAGGATTGTGTCTTTGGATCTGTAGCAGAGCGAGTCTGAGGTGCAAGTTTCTGGGACAGCAAAGCCGCAGCCGAGTGCGATGAGCCCGCCGCCCCGCGCGAGGCGTGCAGATTATCCAGAGCGCGGCTCAGCTCCGCAACGCCGTCACCTAGGTCCTCTCCTGATTTTTCAGCTGCAGCACCCTGCGATGATCCATTTCCAGCATCTGTGCCGTCGGTTTTGTTGGCCATTTCCACCTTGAGATCTTCGACCTCCCTCCGCAGCCGCGCGAGCCTCCGCTCAAGCGACTCGTCCTCGCTATCACTCAGGTCACCGATCTCCTCTACCCCGTCCTCACGTCTCCGCCGACGGCGACGACTCATACTCTTGCTCCGGTAAGCCTGGCGCTTCTGGGAGATGCTATCTGAGAAATTGACATCGCGGGCATCCACGGCCGCGCCCATGAAGTGCATGCGCGCCTGGTCCGGGTTGACACCCTCGCGGTCGATGTCGGAGTTTGAGCCTGCATCATCATGGTCGGAGTCTGTGCGGATAGTGGCAGTCTGGACAGGGTCAGTGGTTAGACCCGGTGACGTCTCTTTGTGGAATTGGCGGACTCACGGGCAGGGTGGATGCTTCGTCGGTCAAGTCGGGGGTTTCATAGATATCTGGGGACGGGTCCTGGATCACGGTCAGTGGAAATTGTAGTGGATATCAACAACTAGCGTTGCTCACCAGGTCAGGAAGACCGGCATATTTCTTATTGAAAGACATGATTGGATTGAAGCTCTCTAAGTATAGTAAACACCGAACTCCCGGGGCTCAATCACATGTACAGTCAGCAGATCATGTGACCTCTAGCCTCGGATTCAGGAACGAACACATGCAATTGACGCAATTGGACGTTGAAGTTCATTTGACCAAGACAACTATATATATTAGGTGACATCGCTTGAAAGTTCTTGTCTTTTCCTTCTACCCCAGTTCAGGTCTCTCTTCAATTAAATATCCTTTATCAACTTTCCCCCGCCATATCCCCCCGCATTTCACCTTCACTATATACATCAACCTTCAAGATGGCCGCCCCTGCTGATGTTACCATCCAAAACCTGAGTGGAAAATGGGAGATGGTATGCCCAAACACAATTAAATTCCTAAAACAGAATGCTCATATGTAACAGGACTCAACCCACTCTAACCCAACAGACCCCCTTCTATCTCTGGTATGTAACCCTCCCAGCCCTAACCTCCCTAACGTTACCCCAAATATAAAACAGCCAAGTCTCACCCCTGTCACAATTTCCCCTCCAATCATACATCCTTAACACAACCATATTTATCCCTACCATGCACGATACCATACATAAAAACCTTATCCAACAACCCCCACTAACAACAAAAACAGCAAGGAATGGGCTGGGTTATGCGCAAGGCACTCTCGTACGCAACAGTGACCATCTACGTCAATCAGTACGCAGATGCAGAGGACCCCACTCTCACCCACGTCGACGCACAGCAAGTAATTACAGGCGGTATCCAAGGCACCAAGGAAGAGCGCAAGCTTGACTGGGAAGAGCGCGAGCACGTCGACCACATCTTCGGCAAGCTGAAGGGTCGTTCGCGCCACATTGCCGGCGCTAAGAGCGCGGATGGCGCTGTGCGTCCTGTTATCGAGATCCAGACTAAGACCGGCTCGGCTGAGGCTGATGCTAAGGTTCAGAAGTTCCTGGCTGGAGAGACTCTTATTGATGGATCGAAGAGTGAGGGATTCCTTGCTGAGGAGGGCGATGCGGCGTTTTTGCACACCTGGGTGGTGAATGAGGAGAATAAGTGGACTGCCGAGCAGGTTTGGGGATTCGAGATTGTTGATGGAGAGAGACGTCATACTCGTCGCATTGTTGTTTCTAAGGATGGGAAGGTTGCTCTTGGTAGACTTGTTTATGCTTTCAAGGAGCGCAAGTCTGAGGAGTAAGGTGCTGCTCCTGTGTTGAGTATAAGCATTGTATCTTTCTTAAGGTGTCGGTTTTTTCAGTTTGCTATGGACTATAGGTCAATATATATGTAGCATTCAACCTGCCAGTTTACTCTGATGATAACACGTATTTAGGCAAGTGTTGACTTTGATCATATACATGTTAGAACTGAGCTTGTAGAAAAAAAATGAAGTCTAGGGATTTTGAGATTGTTTGATTTCTGAGAATTGATATCATTAAAATGTTGCATGCACTGTCCAATCTGGTTATCCATGTCAAGATCCATGAATGATGTGACATAAAACAAAGCATGTGGTTCAGATACATTCGTTGAGACCCATGAGGCGTGTATTTTGTTTGACAAGAAAAGACAAATTTTACCATGCGAATGATAGGCTAAAAGGCAAAAGAGACTGAGACCAAGATATTTAGGAGTGAGTAGGCATCACCACGGTAGCCTTGTTGCTGATCGCATCTTCACTCTTCCAGAAGCTAGTCACAGTCTTCTGCTGGGTATAGAACTGCAAGCCGGGCTTGCCGTAGAAAGTGTTGGCACCGCCACCGGCAATACTCTTCTTGTTACCGGTGAAAGAGAACATAGGAAGAGGGACGGGAATGGGTACGTTGATACCGAGCTGGCCAGCCTCGCAGTCCTTCTGGAACTTGGAGGCGGTCGAGCCGGAGCGGGTGAAGATGGCGGCACCGTTGCCGTATTCATTGGCGTTGATCGTTTCGATAGCTTCGTCAAGGGTCTCGACATTAAGGCACACGAGAACGGGGCCGAAGATCTCCTCCTTGTAGCACTTCATGTCGGGGGTGACATTGGTGATGATGGTTGGGCCAACCTGCGAATGCACAATTAGTTCGAGTTACACAGTAGAGTATGTTCTGTAGTGGGACTTACAAAGTTACCGTTGGGGTAGTTCTCGGGCTTGAACCCACGGCCATCCAGCATAATGGTGGCACCCTCTTCCTCGGCGCTAGTAATCAAGTCCTCAATACGCTTCTTGCTCTCGGGGCTGATCACAGGGCCGAGGTCAGCACCCTCCTCAAAGCCACCGTTCACGACTAAGGCCTTAGCCCGCTCGGCGATCTCAGGCAGCCACTCCTTAGTCTCGCCAACCATAACGCAGGTGCTCAATGCCATGCAGCGCTGGCCAGCAGCACCAAATGCAGCACCGACAATAGCGTTAAGAGCGTGGTTCTTGTTGGCGTCAGGCAGGACGGCGGCATGGTTCTTAGCACCCAGGTTGGCCTGCACGCGCTTGCCATTGGCAGAGCCACGGCTGTAGATGTATTCGCCAGCACGGTTGCTGCCAACAAAGCTGATGGCCTTGATAGCAGGCTCATCAAGAATGAAGTCCACAGTGGGAGCAGTGCCGTGGATGATGTTAATCACACCCGGTGGGAAACCGGCCTCCTTGGCAAGCTCGGCGAGGATCATCGCAGCACCGGGATCCCGCTCGGATGGCTTCATGACCAAGCAGTTACCAGTCACAGTAGCGACGGGAATACACCAAAGGGGAATCATGGCAGGGAAGTCTTGGTGACAATTAGCATCAATGTGGAGGGGTTGGAAGTGTTGACATAAGCAACTTACTGAAGGGGCAAATAGCAGCCACGACACCGAGTGGCTCGCGGTAGCTTCTTGTCTCCATATCCTTGGCCACCTCCAAGACCTCGCCGGTCATCTGGGTAGTGATACCACAGGCGGTCTCGGCAACCTGAAGGCCACGGAGAACATCACCCTTGGCATCGGCGAAAGTCTTACCCTGCTCAAGGGTAATAGACGCGGCCAATCGGTCCCAGTGGGTACGAATGAGGTTAGTAAACTTGAAGATAATCTGCTGTCTGGCCATGATGCTGGTAGCTCTCCAAGCGGGGAAGGCCTTCTCGGCCGACTCCACAGCGGCCTTCAGCTCCGCATCTGTGCTCTGGGGCACACGGGTGACCAGGTTGTTTGTGGCAGGATCATGGAGATCAATCCATTTAGTTGCCTTGGATGACACAAACTCATTGTCAATGAAGTTAGCAGTGTCGATTGG